GGAGCTGCTGCTGCTGCTGCTGTTGCAGCAGCACAAGGACGCACATGCAGCAACGTACGAAAGACAACAAAAGAAAATGTCCCAGCGAAGGCAGCAAGGCAATCCCTCGACAGTCTGTAGCCCTTAAATGTAAGCCCACAGCGGGGCTCCGCTGCTGCTGCTGCTGCTGCTCCCGCCTTGGGAGAAGCAGCAGCAGCTCCAAGACAAAAACAAGAAACGGCTGCTCGCCAGTCTGCAGCAGCAGCAACAGCAGCAGCAGCAACAGCAGCAGCGTCCGCTACTACACAAGTGTGTGCTGCCTTACTAGTGCTGCTACTCGGTCACAGTCTCATTTACGAGACCGCCCAGCAGCCGCTGCATCTGCAGCAGTTGCAGCTCCAGCAGCCGCAGCAGTAGCAGCAGCAGTAGCAGCAGTTAGAAGTCTTCTCGGTCTTCTGCATCGGCTTCCTCCAGCAGCTCCTCTTCTTCCTCCTGCGGCGCACGCAGCCAACCCCGACAGCAAACCTGCAGCTTCAGCTGCTGCTGCAGCAGCAGCTGCTGCTGCTGCAGCAAATGCCCCACGTCCGTTTCTTGAGACGCACCTGTTTTTCTCGCTGCCGCAGCCGCTGCTCGTGGAGTTTGATTTGCTGCTGCTGCTCCTGCATGTTGGAGAAGTCTCGGGGGGTCAGCAGCACAGAGTCTGCTGGGGGAGCAGCAAGCCTTGCTGCTGCTGGCAGCAGCCCCTGCCACAGCCGCTGCAGCAGCGAGGGACTAGAGAAGGCAGCAGCAACTGCTGCTCGGAAGGCGCCCGGATTCGCAGCTGCCAAGTTGCAGTGGTCCCCGTGGCTCAGCAAGTAGGTCGCCCTGCAGCAGCAGCAGCAGCAGCACAATGCGCACGAGCAAAAGAAGCAGCTGCTGCCTCCACGGAATCAGCAGCAGCAGCAGCACAACGCGCACGAGCACACGCCCCAGCTTCTGCCTCTCCGCAATCAGCAGCAGCAGCAGCAGCAGCAGCAGCAGGGAAGAACGGACCGCGGGCGCATGCTCTCGTCCAGCAGCAGCAGCTGCTGCTGCAGCAGCGGCCAAACCCTCAGCCTGTCATTCTGGCTGATTAAAATTGTCGTTTTTGTTCCTTTCAAGCAGCTCAAAGTTGAACAAGACCGAATGCGCCGCAGCTGCGAGGCCCGCCTGAAGCAGCAACAATCCACAAACTCTGCTGCTGCTGCTGCTGCTGCTGCTGCTGTGGCTGCTGCTGCTCCACTGGTTGTCGCAGCACTAGCTGTTGTAGCACGAGCTGCTGCAGCACTAGCTGTTGCTGCATTAGCTGCAGCAGCACTAGGGGCAGCAGCAAATGCTGCAGCAGCAGCTGCTGGAGGTGGTGCTTTAGCTGCTGCTGGTGAAGTAATTGACACTGCTGCGTCTCTGCTGCTGCAGCAAGGCGCCTTACTTGCTGCCAAGGCCCCAAGACAAGTGCTGCAGCAGCAGCAGCACCGAACGCGCAATGGGCCGAATCGGAGGCTGCTGCTGCAGCAGCAGCCGCGCGTTGCAGATAGGAGAGTCCAGCAGCACTCGCTGGAGAGACACTCCTTGCTGCTGCAGCCAGTCGGCCTCTGCCCCCTGCAAACAGCAGCAGCAGCAGCAGCAACGGCTCGACGGCAGCAGCAGACGCGGCAGCAGCTCACGCCAGCCGCAAAGAAGCAAGCTGAACAGCAGCAGCAGCAGCAGCAGCAGCAGCAGTAGGGGCTTTACCATCAGCAGCACCCCCATTGCTGCTCCCCCTTGCGCATAAACTCCAATTTCTTTAACTCCAAATTGCTGCTGCAGGAAACGAATTGCTGCTGCTAAGTCTTCGCGGCTGTCTATGGCCAGCTGCGACACAGCGCCCTCCACGGCCCAGCCCTCCCCGCTGCTGCTGCTGCTGCTGCCTGCTGCTGCAGCAGCAGCACGGCGGAACGCAGAGGACTCCCCGCTGCCCCGCATGTCCAGCAGCAGAATGTGGTTGTCGCGGTGCAGCTTCAGCTGCAGCAGCAGCAGCAGCAGCAGATCAATATTCGGCCAACTTTCCATCAGCCACCAGCAGCAACAGCTAGAGCAGCATCAGCAGCAAAAGCACGGGAGCAGCAAGGGGAGAAGCCGCCGCATGGCAGGCAGAAGCACTACTCACAGCAGCAGCAGCAGCAGCAGCAGCAGCAGCAAGAACAGCAGCAGCAGCAACAGCAGCAACGGCAGCAGCAGCAGCAAGCTGTACCTGCTTTGCTGCCTCGACAAAGGGCAAACAGGCCTGTCGATTAGACAGCCAGCCGTGCAGGCAGATCAGAGCCTTTTTGCTGCTGCGCTGCTCCGCAGGTATCATCCATCCCTGAAGCTGCTGCTGCTGCTGCTGCTGCTGTTGCTGCTGCTGCTGCTGTTGAGGCAGTGCTTGCTGCTGCTGCTGCTGTGCTTGCTGCTGCTGCATCTGCTGCTGCGCTGCCGCAAAGCCCTCGCTGCCCGGAAGGTCCACGTAGAGGGGCGCACTCACCCCCCCTGGCTGCATGTGGTGCTGCTGCACTGGCTGCTGCTGCTGCTGCTGCGCTTGCTGCTGCGGCTGCTGCTGCTGCTGCTGCAGTGCGCCGCCCTCCCTAGATTGACTACCGATAGCCTCATTTAAAGGAATGGAAACCTAAGAGCCGCAGCAGCACCGACTGTATGTACAGGGCTTGTACGCACCCCAGCAGCAGCATCAGCAGCAGCAGCAGCAGCAGCAGCAGCAAAGGGCGCCACAGGGCCGTAGCCATACCTCAATGAAGTTTAGGCCGTAAAGTGCGGGGGTCGCTCCCGCAGGGAGCTGCAACTGCCTGAAATCAGCAGCAGCAGCAGCAGCAGCAGCAGCAGCAAAGTAGACGTGTCACTCTAAGAATACTTGTTTACACATGCACCCCAGCAGCGCCGCAGTGGCTTCCGCAGCAGCAGCACAAGAAGCAGCATCGACAACACCGGCAGCAAGTGCAGCAGCGGGAGGAAAAATTGCAGCAGCAGGAGCAGTGATAGCAGTAAAAGAGCAACAGTGGAAGCAGCAGAGCTCGAAGCAGCAGCAGCAGCAAGACAACCAGCAGTGCCGGCAGGAAGAGCCGCAGCAGCAGCAGCAGCAAGAACAGCAGCAGCAGCAGCAGCAAGACCAGCAGCAGCAGCAGCAGCGCACTGCAGCAGGAAAGGATCATCTAGACGAACGCGGGCGAGGCTGCTGCCGAAGCCAGAAGCAGCACAAAGCGGCAGCAGCAGCGCAGCAGAAAGCAAATTGGCCCGCAGCAAACTGGCAGCACACTGCAGCAGCAAACGCCCTAGAGACCGCCCCACAACCCGCAGCTCGGGCTCGTGCTGCTGCAGCTGCAGACGCACCTGCAGCAGCAGCAGCAGCAGCAGAACAGCAGCGGCTCAAGTGGCAGCATAGACCACATGGGCAGCACACACAGCAGCAGCAGCAGCAGCAGCAGCAGCCAAAGAAACAGGGCAGAGGAGAACGCTACGAGCACACGAAAAGCAGCAGCAGCAGCAGCAGCACAGCCAGATCGCCTACTTGCTGCTGCAGCAGCTGCAGGGCACCCTTCGCGCGCTGCAGCAGCAAGGGTTGCTCCGACTCTGAGGCCTCAACATCAGCAGCGGCAGCAGCTGCTGCTGCTGCCGCTGCTGCTTCCCTTTCCCTCTGCTTTTTGCTGCCCCAGTTGAAGCCAAAACCCAATGGGCGAGCTGCAGGCAGCAGCAGAGGGGTGCTGTTTGCTGCCGTTGCTGCTGCTGCGCTGCTTGCTGCTGGCTGCACGCGACACAGCGGCTTCGAAGACCGCGGCAGCACTGTGGCAAAGCGCATGCGCCTGTCCCCTGCTGCAGCAGCAGCAGCAGCAGCAGCTGCCGCTGCTGCTGTAGGGTCAGATGGCAGCGAGAGCGATGCTAAAAAAGGGCGCTGTGGAGAAGCAGCAGCTGCGGGAGCTGCTGCTGCTGCTGCCACTGCTGCTGCATCTCCAGGCCTTCTTGCTGCGAGCTGTTCTGCTGCTGCTCTCGGGGCGGCAGACCCCCCTAGCAGCAACAGCAGCAGCAGCAGCGACTGCTGCTGGAGCCGCATCACAGCAGCGGCGGTTCGCAGCAACTGATGTGTCTTAACTGATGAGAAACAGTTGGCGCTGCTGCTGCTGCTGTTGCTGCTGCTGCTGCTGCCCGGGGTCGATGGGGGCCGTGGTGACGCTGTCAAGACACCGCAGGCACAGCTGGGAGCAGTGCGCTGCTGCTGCTGCTGCTGCTGCTGCTGCAGCAGTTGAGTATGCCTACAAAGGCATAAGGCGCATATTAAACACTAGGATAAGTTTTAATACAGGCTGCTGCTGCTATGTCTGCTGCTGCTGCTCTGAGGCGGCAGCGGCTGCAGCCGAGTGAGTCTCTTGCCTGTGCTCTCGCATGCAGCAGCAGCAGCAGCAGCAGCGGTAGCAGCAGCAGCGGCTGCTGCATGCACGAATGCTAGAGCCCGCGAAGAGTTAAATAAATACTTGGCATTTTAATACCTGCTTTTTAAAGCGGCCAGCAGCACGTGCTGCATCAGTGCTGCTGCTGCTGCTCTCGCTGCTCACTGCTGCTCTGCGCCTTCGCGCTGCTGCTGCTGTTGCTGCTGCAGTCGGCAGCAGCCTAGACTGTTCTTTTAGACAGAAAACATCACTGCATTGCCCAAGGTGCTCTATTAGCACAGCGAAGCAGCAGCAGCAGCAACAGCAACAGGGGCCCAGCCATCGGCAGCAGCAGCAACATCCAGGGCGCGAGCAGCAGCAAGAGCGGCAGCAGGGGCGCTAGCAGCACCAGCAGCAGCAGCAGCAGGAGCAGAGGCGTTTGATGCCTGTGGGGTTTTCCTAGCTGCGAAGTAAAATGTTCCGGGGCGCTAGCCGCTGTGCGCAGCAGCGGCTGCTGCTGCTACCACAGCAGGACTTGCTGCTGCAGCGGCAGCAGCAGCAGCAACGCATGCAGCAGCACCTGCTGCAGCAGCAAGCCGCGTTTTCCTCCTCATACGATATCTTCAAGAAGCTGCAGGACCCGCCAAGCGGCGGAGAGTCCACACAGCTTGCGCGGAAGCCGTCAGAGAAGGTGCAGCAGCAGCAGCTGCTGCTGCTGCCGTTGTTGTTGCTGCTGCTGCCATTGCGGTTGCTGCCTGGCATTGCGCCCTGCACAAGGGGTCCAACCGTCTTTGCTGCTGCTGCTGCCGCACTTCCTGTTGCTGCCCTTGCCGCTGCTGCTGCTGCAGCTGCTGTTGCTTCATCTGCTGCTGCTGCTGCTGCTGCAGGTGCTGCGCCTGGTTGATGAGGTGATGAACTTGACGCTAATTGAAGCAGCAGATCTCTGCGACCTCTGCCAGGAGAAGTTGGCGCAGCGAGGAGGCGGTAGGGCTGGCAGGGCCTCCAGTGTTTAGGGTTTAGGGTTTAGGGTTTAGGGTTTAGGGTTTAGGGTTTAGGGTTTGGCTTGGGTGTAGACCAAGGGTTTACACCCTGCGTTCGACGCTGCCTCGCCGAGCACTTCCGGCTTACGACAGCCGTTCAGGGTTTAGGGTTTAGGGTTTAGGGTTTAGGGTTTAGGGTTTAGGGTCTAGGGTTTGCAGGCCCCGCGTTTAATGCTGCTGTTGCTGCTGGGCGTTCTCCTTTCCCCCACCCCTCCAGTCTTTTTGCTGGCCAACTTGCTGCTGGGGGTTTTGGGTAATTAATTAATTAATTTATTTATTTATTTATTTATTTGTTTGTTTAATTAATTAATTAATCAATTAATTAATTATATTTATTTATTTGTTTGTTTTTTATTTGTTTATTCACCATTTGTTTATTTGCTGTTTGCTGCTGGCTTTGTTTCCGGGGTCTTCCCCAACTTGCTGCTGCTGCTTTCTTTATTTACTTTTTAAATAAATAAATACACAAATAAATAAATTAATAAATTAATAAATATAAATAATAGATATTTAATTAATTGATTAATTGATTGTTTAATTAATTGTTTCTATTGTGGCTTCCTTCAGTTCCCCTCTTGCTGCTGCTGCTGCTGTTGCTGCTGCTGCTGCTGCCCAGCGCGCTGGGCTCGCCTCTGTTTCCTTCTGCTTCTTTTTGCTTCTTTTCTCCTCTTGCCCATTTAATTTAATTTTATTTTATTTGATTTCATTTTATTTGTGTCTTCTCTTTTTTCCATTCAATATCTTTTCATTATTTTAATTTCTTTTGTTACTTTAATTCCCTTTTGCCACTTTTGCTGCTGCTGTTTATTTGCTTCTATGTTTCACCTGCGTAGGTGTGCCCCTGCTGCAGTTGCTGCTGCTGCCTTTACTGCAGTTGCTGCTGCTGCAGCTGCTGCTTCTGCGGCTTCTGCTGTGTGTGGCGTTCTTTCCCCAACAGGTTTGCTGCTGGAGGGACGATGCCTGCTGCTGCTGCTCCTCCCCCTCCTGCTGCTGCAGCTGCAGCAGAAGCAGCACCAGCAGCGGGTGGCTCCGCAGCTGCTGCACCTCCAGAAGGTACGCGACAGCAGCAGCAACAGCCCAAACACTCCCAGCAGCAGCAGCAACTGCTGCTGCTGCTGCTGCTGCTGCAGTTGCTGCTGCTGCAGCAAGCCTCGCCCTGTGCGTGCTGCTCCTTTGAGCTTGACGCCTTCGCCATTGCTGCCGCTGCTGCTGCTGCTGCTGCGTGCGGGCTGCTGCAGCACCAAAGAAGGCAGCGGTGGCGTTGAAGCTGCTGGGTTTTGAGAGCAGCAAAAAAGTTGCTGTTGTAAAAGAAGTCCGAGCAATTGCTGCTCTTGGATTGAAGGAAGCAAAAGAACTTGTCGAACAAGCCCCCAAAATGATAAAAAAAGGAAAGAACTTTTTTCCCATTTGCTGCTTCTTGTTTCCTAATTTGCTGCTCTTTATTTATTTTGTTTTGTTTCATTTTGTTTCATTTTCCTTTATTTGCTGCTTCTTGTTTCTTATTTGCTGCTCTCTATTTCTTTGAGTTAATCAATTTATTTTATTTAATTATTTTCCACTTATTGTTTGGTTATTTCTTCATTAATTATTATTTGTCATTGAATAGTGAGATTTATTGTTCACTAATATTCCCCATTTATTTTTCATTTAAATTCATTTATTATTATTATATAATTTATTATTTATTCTTTTAGTATTCATTTATTTATCGTGTTTGCTGAAGGGGAGACGAGCTGCTGCTGCTGCCGCTGCTGCTGAAGCTTGCTGCTGTGCTCTGCTGCTGCTGCTGCTGCTGACGCTTTTTGCTGTGCTCTGCTGCTGCTGCTGCTGCAGGTGTCCCCATTGCTGAGGCTGAGGCGCTCAAGGCGAAGCTGGAGGCCGCTGGAGCTCAGGTGGCTCTCGAGTAGCAGCAGCGGCAGCAGCAGCAGCAGCAGCAGCAATAGCAGCAGCAGCAGCAGCAGCCTAGTTCTAGTTGTTTTGAGCCGGGGAGAGCCAGTTTGCTGCAGAGGGCCCAAAAGCGCCTCTGTGGGGTTTTTGAGGTGTACGTACACCTCAGGCCTGCAGTCGCACGAGTGCGTCTGGAGGCATCAAATTAATTATTATTATTTATCTTTTAATATTTATTATTTATTATTTATTATTTATTATTTAGTATTTAGTATTATAATTGCTCTTAGGATTAGTATTATTATTCTAATGCAGTTTTAAAATCTTGGCGCTTGCAACAAGCTTTAGACTGCCTGCTGCTGCTGCTGCACCTGCTGCTGCTGAGGTACTTGCTGCTGCTGCTGCTGCTGCTCCGGGCCCACGCAATAGAGATACAGAAGCACATTTGCTGCTTCTGCTGCTGATACACCTGCTGCTCCTGTCGGCGTGACCGCTGCTGTCAATAATGCATCTGCTGCTGCTGTTGATGCACCTGCTGCTGCCGTTGCACCTGCTGCTGCTGCTGCTGCTCTGGAGCCCGTCATCTAGGCCCGCCAGAGAGCAGCACAGCTTAGCAGCAGCAGAAGGTAAGAGCAAAAGGGCAGCGAAGTGGCAGCAAATAGAGAAGCAGCAGCAGCAGACCGAAAGAAACAGCAGCACCAGTAATTAGGTACGCAGCAGCAGCAGACTAAAACAGCAGCAGCAAGTAAATAGGCGCAAAGCCTGCTGCCTGCTGGCTTGCTGCGTGTTGAGTCTCTTCTCTTTTATTTCTCTTCTGTCTTTCTCTTTTGCTCCTCAGCAGCAGCAGCAACAACAACAGCAGCAGCAAGAACAGCAAGACCAGAAGCAGCAGAGATAGGCTGTCGAGGTATTTGGCTGCTGGCCCATGGGTGCTAACTACCGGCAGCAGCAGCAGCAGCAGCAGCAGCGTCAGGAGACGTTGCGCTGCGCGAAGCAGCTGCGTAGCTGCTGAGCCTTCGGTGTCTGCGCTTGCTAAAAGCACAGGTCTGGCAGCAGCAGCAGCAGCAGCAGCAATCCTAGCAGCAGCAGCAGCAGCAGCACTCCTAGCAGCAGCAGCAGCAGCAACGCGAGCAACAGCGGTAACAGCAATAAGACTGCAAGGCAACGATAGCCAAATGACAAGAAGTGTTTGCTGCTAAATGCATGCAGCAAATACAACAAAGAAAGATATCTCTATTCAAACGCCGCACTCCCTGGCGAGAGCCAGGAGTGCTGCTGCTGTTGCTGCTGCTGCTACTGCAGCTGCTGCTGTTGAAGCTGCTATCGCTGCAGCTGCTGCTGCAGCTGCTGCGGCAACCAAATGGAATGAGGTGAACATACACCCCAGCGTATTGCACATGCAGCAGTAGCAAGCTACTGCTGCTGCTGCCAGCTAAAGTTAAAAATGTGTCAGCAGCAGCAGCTGCAGCACGGGCTGCTACGGCTGCTGCTGCTGCTGCTGCTGCGGAAGTGCGGCCGCTGCTGCTGCTGCTGTTGCTGCATACAGCTCAGCCAGCCGACCCAGCTGCTTTGCTGCTGCTGCAGCTCAGCAGCCGCATTGCTTACGGGACCAGGTGACAGAGCCTGCAACAAACAGAAGCAGCAGCAGCAGCAGCAGCAGCAAAGCCCCTTAAGAAGACGTCGACACCAGCAGCAGCACCAGCCATAAGATCTCTGCTGCGCTGCAGCAGCTAGTCACGCTGTGGTTGCACAGGCACTAGAACGTTTTGCAGCAGCAGCACTTCCATCAGGCAGCAGCAGCACCTCCACTACGCAGCAGCAGCACTTCTACCAAGCAGCAGCAGCAAAAAACTGCAGCGGAAGCAGCAGCAGCACCGCGGGCCGCAGCAGCATCACAAGTACCAGCAGCAGCACCAGAAGCACCAGTAGCACAACCACCGTTAGCATTAACACCAGCAGCAACAGCAGCACCGCCACCACCAGCATTAGCAGCAGCAGCAGCAACGGCAGCAGCAGCAGCAGCTTACCGTGTTCGGTAAGAATTCTCTCCTCCCTGGCATCTTTGACAGGAACTGCTGCTTCTCCAATGGCAAATGCAGCAGCAGCAGTGCCTGTCGGCGCTGCAGCAGCAACACAGGATGAACAGAAACCACACCGCTCACTACGCGGCAGCAGCAGCAGCAGCAACAGCAGCAACAACAGCAACAGCAGCAGCAGCAACAGCGTCCAAGGATACAGAGTGCAAGACCAGCGGTACGTGAACCAGCAGCTACACTACCCTGGCCCGAGCTTCCAAAGCAGCAGCAGCAGCAGCAACAACAACAAGAGCAGCAGAAGCAGCAGCAGCAGCAGCAGCTCACCTGAGCTGGCCTTTAGCTCTGCCTGCCAGACAGCAATTTGCTGCGCCTCGCTTTCGTTAAAGAGATGCCTAAAAGGTAAAGCAGCAACCCCACAGAAAAGCACTAGCTGCTGCTCCCGTTGCTCGTGCTGCTGCTGCTGCTGCTGCTGCAGTTGCTGCTGCTGCAGCAACGGGGGCACAGGGCGCTTCTGCTGTAGCAGCACACGCTGCGCTCGCAGCTGCGGCAACAAATATTACTGCTGCAAGCTAGAAGCAGCAGCAGCAGCAGCAGCAGTGCTGGCAGCAGCAGTAGCTGCAGCAATAGCAGCAGCAGCTCTGGAAGCAGCAGCAGCAGCAGCAGTGCTGGCAGCAGCAGTAGCTGCAGCAATAGCAGCAGCAGCTCTGGAAGCAGCAGCAGCAGCAGCAGCAGCAGCACTTACCGGTGCCTGTATGCTTGCTGGAAGAGCTGATCCACAGAGGCGCGCGCCCAAGGAACCTGCAGCCGAACACCCGGATACAAACCCTAAACCCTAAACCCTAGACTCTAAACCCGAAACCCCTAACCCTTGGCCCTAAACCCTAAACCCTAAACCCTAAACCCTCATAACGGCTAACCGTGCGGAATGCAAAGACTGTGGAGAGAGCGTCAAGGAAGAAGCACTTGCTCAGCACGAGAATGGCCTGTTTCCTGAAGCCACACAAACCCTAAACCCTAAACCCTAAACCCTAAACCCTAAACCCTA